CCAGCTACTTGGGAGGTGGAGGCAGGAGACTCGCTTGAGCCCAGGAGTTGGAGGTTGCTGTGAGCTGTGATGCCACAGCACTCTACCCAGGGCGACAGCTTGAGCCTCTGTCTCAAAAAAAAAAAAAGAAAAGAAAAGAAAAGAAAAAAGAAAATCACTGTTGAGCAGTACCTGACACAGAGCAGGAATTCAGTTTTGTTAGAGATGTTATAAATACTATATAGTCTATCTTTTTGTAAAATGCATGACTACATTATGAAAACTATCTTTATCATCAACTTAATCTTTTTCCTATCTAATTCTCCTCCCCCCTTCCTTAAAAAAATAAAACTGGACTATAGTAAGTGCATTGTCTAAAATCTGCTAGAAGGAAAATAACAAAATTCTCAATGAAAATCAGGGTATTAAAAAAAGAAAATCAGGGTATTTTTTGCCTTAAAATTAGTATCAAAATTAGTTCCTTTATATCTTCATTTGATTCATACAGCTGAAAAAGCTGTAAAATCTCATTTTTTTTAATAAAGCAAAGGATTTAGGTATGGCATTACTACTGCTCAAACCCTTATTTCACCACTATGTAACCTCAAGCAAGCAGTCCTTAGAACTTGTATAATCACAATTAACATTAAACAACACTCTATAGGCTCGGTACCTGTAGCACAGTGGTTACAGCGCCGGCCGCATGCACCAAGGCTGGCGGGGTTGAGCCTGGCCCAGGCCTGCTAAATAAATAACTATAACAACAAAAAAAAAAGTAGCCAGGCATTGTGGCAGGCGCCTGTAGTCCCAGCTACTTGGGGGGCTGAGGCAAGAGAATCGCTTAAGCCCAAGAGTTTGAAGTTGCTGTGAGCTGGGACGCCATAGCAATCTACAGAGGGTGACATACTGAGACTCTGTCTCCAAAAATAAATAACACTCTATAATCAAATGCTTACATACTTTAAACCATTGAGTACTTAGTGAATACTTCTCTAAAACATCTTTATCCTACTAGGTTCCATGATATCCATTAAAAATTAGCTATATTGGGTGGCTCCTGTGGCTCAGTGAGTAGGGCGCCAGCTCAATATATCAAGGGTGGCAGGTTTGAACCCGGCCCCAGACAAACTTCAACAGAAAATAGCTGGGCATTGTGGCGGGTGCCTACAGTCCCAGCTAATTGGGAGGCTGAGGCAAGAGAATTGCCTAAGCCCAAGAGCTGGAAGTTACTGTGTGCTGTGCGATGCCATAGTACTCTACCGAGGGCGACAAAGTAAAACTCTGTCTCTAAATAAATAAATAAGTAAAATAAAAATTAGCTATACACACACATACGCATACATTACTTGGTCAAAGTATGACATAAATAACAAATGTTTATCTCACTCTTTCCAAATGTCTATAACTAACACCATAAAGATTCACAGGCATAAACCCACAAAGACAACAAGAATAAAGGCAAAAGACAAAATTGCAACAAGAAAAAAATGTTTTTAATTTACAAGGCAGATGAAAGAGGATTAACAATAATAAAAAAGCAGTTAAATATTTAAATGCTTACTGCATGTCAGACATTACTCTAAGGAAATTAGATTATGGAACATAAATTGGCAGTGGGAAACCCTAAAAGCAAGACTTGATCAGCAAAACCACCCTAGAAAATCTTTGGAACTGGAGAAAGTCTTGCAAAGAGGGCTGATTCTCCCTTAACAGATGAGAATCAAAATAAAATCTGTCATTTTATTTTCATTAACAATGTAGGAAAGCCGACCACAGAACGCAGTAATGCATAAATCACAAATCTCTCAGTACCCTCCCACCACATTGGTTACTCAACTGCGTTATTTTGTAATTTACCTGTTCTCTACTCCAGCACCAACTGCCTGTTACCTCATTTATTTATGTGCTATAAGACATTTCCATACACACATACTTAAAACTCCAGATACTTTCCTCTTCAAAAACGCTATAGTAGCTCCTGCATTGCAATTCTGGAGGTGTGTATATGTGTATATATATATATATATATATACACACATATATACACACACATATACACACACACGTGTATATATACACACACACATATATACACATATTTTTTTTTTCTTTGAGACAGTGTCTCACTTTATTGCCCTCAGTAGAGTGCTGTTGCATCACAGCTCACAGCAACCTCCAACTCCTGGGCTTACAGGATTCTCTTGCCTCAGCCTCTCCAGTAGCTGATACTACAGACACCCACCACAACACCCAGCTATTTTTTTGTTGCAGTTAAGCCAGGGCCAGGTTCAAACCTGCCACCCTCAGTACATGGGGCCACCCTGGCACCCTACCCACTGGGCCACAGGCACAGCCCTCTAGAGGTATTTTTTAATTCCTCTTTCTCCTCACAAATCTAAACTTAAGAGCTGACACTTCAGTTCAGGCCATGATTATTTGACTACAGTGTAATGACTTCATGGCCAGTTTTTCTTTTTCTTTTTTTTTTTTTTTT